TCTGCATCCGGTGGAGGCTGCGTCGGAGGAGGTGGAGGTGGAAGTCGTACCTCCGCATCCCGTGTGCTTGCCGTGTCCGAAGGCGGGCTTGGCGGTGCGTTGCATTGTCGGTTGAACTTCGCAAGTGGGCGCTCGGGTTCGCGCACTCTTGTAGTTCATCCCAGGCCCGGTTGATGGAGTCCACTTCCTCGTCGGTGTAGAGATGTACACCAGAGTCATCAGTAGCCGGGCCGCAAGTTCCATCTGCGCCGCGGACTCCGTCGCCGTGTGATGGTACCCGAAGCGTTTCACCGCGATAAGGGCTCCTGGAGTGGCGGTTCATCGGGCAGTTGGGCCGATGTTCCATGAATGGAAGGCATCCGTAATCTGCATCGGCATCATATCACACCCGATGTTCAGCACGCCTCTGTTGGAATGCGCGCCGCCGCTCACGCCTTTCGGTTGCACGAGCGGACCTCTGGGTGCCATCACCAAGCCTCATGATTCGGTTCGTCTCCTCGTCACGGCACGCGAATCTTTCAAATGCCCAGCGTTGCCGCTCTTCTGTTGTCATACCGTTCCAACGCTCCCATTCTCGAGCTGACCAGTAGCGATCACCCAAGACGTAGGAGCCACCAGGAGGGCCTCTGGGTCGATCTGTTGGCGTCGCCGCCTGACGTTGATCGGGAGGGCGTTCTTGGGCACGTGCCAGCATCTTGCCTTTGTAGCCTTTGCCGGCGCCGATAGGCATCTTGCCCTTGCCCCTCCCGTGGCCCTTCGCAGGATCTTCGTAAGGATCGTAGAAGACCATGAAGGTGTCGGTTGACGTCAGATCCGGACCATAACCATTAAACCCGTCGCCGGGTGAGGTGCCCGGTGCATCTGGATCCACGGTGAAGCCGCCCCCAGGTAAGAATTGGAACCCGTCGCCGGGTGATTGGGTAGGAACTTCAGGGTGCAGTTCACGCGACAGGTCGTACGGATTATAATACCAGTTGGGCCAATCAGGGACAGGTAGTTGGACTGACACCTCGACGCCGGCGTCACTGTATGAGCTCAGATCGTCGCCGGTGTCCCCGTCGAACATGATGTGGTGGCCGCCTGGTCCAGCCTGGTACCGTCGCCGGTTCAAATGGTTGCCAGTCGTCGAAGCTGTCCTCCGGCTGTCCTCCGGCATATCTTCAGATGAATCGGGAGGCCCCCATTCCTGGGCGATTTGTTCCTGAACCAAAGGACCATGCTGCACGACGTACGGAGGGTAAGTCGGCTGAAGAAGACCCGTCGCCGGGTGAATGGTCGCGATGAACATCAATAAAATAGGTAATGGCGGTGCCAGGCTCGTTTGGTGAGTGGTCGATGTGCGCGAAGTCTGCGTACTCGACAGCTGGGTGCGGATTTGAGCCGTAAAGGGCGTCGGAAAAGCTGGATCCCTTGCCATTCCCCTTCTGCGGACAATTCCGTATCAAGTGATCCGTGCTACCGCATGCATGACACTTCATTCGCTGACCATCACGTCCAATCTGGTTCTTCTTACGTCCCTTACCCTTACCAGTCGTTCTCCTACCCCTACTCTTACCTTTGCCCCCAAAAAACATGTCTTCATACTGCTCGTCGGTGAGGTCGGCAAGAAATTGGCTGATACCTCGGCCATGCAGTCGCCTGTTCCTACGCCCCCCTTGCCACGACCCTTACCCTTCCTACGAAACACCTTACGTATGAACCGACGTACACTGCGTGCGGGTTTCTGCATATAGCGTCGCCACCTGCGTTTGGCATGCTGTAATCCTAGAAATAAGCGTTTTGCCGCTAGGTCGTCGGGCATGTGCATTACGTCCGACATATCCAGGTCCTCCTGGCCGTCGGACGATTCGGTGTCGGTGTCGGTGCCAGAGTCGTCGGATTGGCCAGCGTCGCTGGCACCCCATAGGGCGGTGTCGTGTTGGATAGGCGTTGCCGCTGAACGTGTAGCGTCAGCGGTGGTAGGCTGAGCCCATTGGCCAGTGGAGTGCGTGGCTGGTCCCGGCGGTGGCTGAGAGCTGAGGAGTGCAGTTGTCTCGTTGGGGGCGTCTCCCCAGATGTTAGCCGCTGGGTTTGGAGCCGTCGCCGGTTCAGCCATTGCGTGGAACGTGAGGTGGGCCGCGTCGCCGCGGCCCCGTCCCATCACGTTTCCAATGTTGCCAGGTGCGCGCTCGGCTAGGTGGCCGAAGCTGCGCATCCGTTCCAGCAGGTCGTCCTACTGTTGTTGTGTTCGTGGCATCTGGTGCTGTAGTGGTTGTAAGAGCATGGCCATGCGAGAGGTGCCGACTCCGAGAGCACGGAAGAGGATGGTAGTAAGTATTTGGAAGTTGGGGATTTGGAATCCCACTGACTCTGCCTCCATCCGTGCTATCTCGAGGCGCGATAGCGACACATCAATGCGGTTTCCAGCTGGAACTCGGAAGTCGAGGAGCTGCGTGCCAAGTGTTAAGGCGCGTTCGTCCTCGAGGTTCTCGAACTTGGCAGCCAGGACAAACATGATGTATGTCAGCCCACCTGTTGGCTGCCCTTGGATCACCGCCCCGCGCGTAATGATATGCGGCGGGACCCTCATGGCGATGGTGCGTGCCTGGCCACCCAGGCCACGCTGTAGAGCAGCTGCCTGCTGAGGCGGTGAGAACCGCCCGTTGGTCACGTTCAGCTAGGCGTGCACCTCGCGTTGGAAGTCAGAGAACGACACGTTGATTGCTGGGTCCCAGTAGGGCCCTTGCATCATGCTCGTGTCGTCGTTGTTCCTGTTACGGTGCATCATGCACCCAACAGCCGTGCACGACGCAAGACAAGCCCCGAAAATTGTTAATGGTAGAAGTCGGTGCACCTTGTTTATGGGGTTTGTCGTTTGCTCGTGGTTAGGCTGCTTGGGCAGCGCAGCCGTCGCCAGCTTAGGCCTGGACGGCGTGTTAGCGCTGCCGCTTGAGGGAGTGTGGTACAACTGTGATGCTGCAATGAGGTTCTTGTCGCTCACGTTCGTGAATGATAGGTTGCCGGTCGGTAGTGTTGTGTTTGACATCACATACGTCTTTGACGTCCCCGGGGCATTCCCAAAGCCGTCGCCGGCTGATTTCTCATTGCTGTACTCTGCTGTACCGCGCAGTGGTAGGTCGCCGTAGTTACACAAGACCAAGAGCAGAGCTAGCAGCATAGTGTACCTGCTGCCAGCTCCGCTACCAAGTCGGAAGTAAGCGCCAAGGCGAGAAACATGGGATTGAGATGTAGTGGTAAGAGGGTGTGAAGAGGAGGATGGCAGCTGGGGAGCTGACATCTCTCTTCCCTTCACGCAATAGCACAGTACGTAGTACTATGAGCATTTATTGAGCTGCGCAGCTAGAGCAGTAAATGGCGGCGGTAACCTGTTGTTCCCGCCGTTCCCTTTCCCTCAAAGTGGGCCACCCCCTCGCCAAAGATGACGCCGGCCATGGCCCCCGAGAAGCCCAAGCGAGTCACGGAGACGGCCATCAAACTCGAGGAGTGCATGGACTGCCCTAGGATCCGGCTGCATTTGACAGGCGAGAGGGGACCCCAGGGGCCCCCAGGGAGTCCACTTTTCATTGATAGCCTTGAATGCGTTCTTCCGGCGTGCGCGTCCAAGATGCCCAACACGACTTCCAGGACGGCCCAAGCATGCCATCGCTGGGCGCGATTAGTAAATGGCTTCCGCATTTGAATGCGGAACGAAAATCGGATGTCAATCATATGTTGTTCCCGTCCTGCTGTCTTCTGGCCTCCTACCCTGCGGGGAGGGAAGATGAGGATAGGAGGCCAGAAGACACCTGGACTGGAACAACATATGGTTGCCATTCAAGCGGAACGGAATTCGGATACATGAGTTTGGCCTCTCCTGGCCTTCTTAGTAAATAATCATATTGAGGCCCTTTTAGACAATCTTCGGGCCCTCCTGGGCAGTCCTGGGGCCTTCTCGGAACGTATTGGGGCCTTCTTGGGTTGTCTTGTAGCCCTCTTGGGGCCTCTTTGGCCGTCTTGGCGCGATTTCGGAGGCCCTCAGAGCCGTCGTGGGCCGTCATTTGCCTGAGAAGGCGAAACCCAAATTCTTCAGAAACCAACAGAAAATCCACGCGTTCTGCCTCCTAAAACCCTCTTGGGGATTCTCTTGAGGGCACCTTAGCGGCCTCGTGAGCCGTCTTGAGGCCGGCTTCGGCATCTGACCAGACCGTGTGGAGTCTCCGGAGACCTCGCGCAGGAGCATCTTAGCATCTTGACGCCTCTGAAGACCTCGCGCAGGAGCGCTCGGAGGAGCCTCCGTCGCCACAACCGATCGGGCCACCCCCCCGATCATTGAGGGGGGTTGCCCCCCCCGATGTGCTGCCAGCCTCACTTATGGCGAACAAAAGATTAGGAACCTCTTACTGCAAGCACTGCTGGGGGGAATACGTGGATTCTAACTCTATGAAAGACAATATATGATATATGATCCGGGAACGCCGGACCTCTTCCGAACTCGTCCCCGAGACAGACCCCGAGCCCTAGCACGAGCCTCAGCCCGAGCCATCCCTGGCTCTCCCCAGCCCTCCTTAGCCTCTTGCCCTCCCCCCCAAGCCCTCCCTAGCTTTCCCTACACTGGCCCTCCCTAGCCCTCCCTACCCCTCCCTAGTCCCTAGTCCCCATTCAACCCCCTAGCCCTCCCTAGATTTTCGTATGCTCACCCTCCCTAGATGTCTGCCCCTGGCCCTCCCCGGAAGGAGTCCTCTCGAAGATTTACTCGGCGGTGTCGCCGTCGTCGTCGTCGTCGTCGTCGTCGTCGTCGTCGTCGTCGTCGTCGTTGCTCCGAACTTGTCCGGGGACTCTAGAATCGAGTATCGACGCGTCCCTGGCGCTCCCAAAAGCTTCCAAGATGCCCAAGATGGCTTCCCAGACTGTCCAAGCTCTTCCTTCTTCTCGTTTCTTTCGTTTCTCCACCACACTCTTCACACAAGTTCATTCGAGTGGGGAGGGGGGAAAGGGAAGGGAAGGGAGGAGGGGCCTAGGGCCTAGGGTCGGCGGGGCGGCATAAGCCAACGAATCACGGAATACGTTCCCGTCTTCTGGATGTTTCCGCAAAACCTGTCGTTCGTGTCCTGGATCTCGTCCCGGCCCTTATCTAGGATGTGCTCGTTCCAGAGACCACCCAAGATGGACGCCAAGATGGGTTTGCAGAGCTCGCAGCCGTTGCCTTTTCCCACCGCGCTCAGCACGTCCGGGAAGGTCTTCAGCTTCTTGATCCTGACAATGTCGAAGAGCTCCTTACGGCTGTAAGGGAAGTGGGCACAAATCCCAATAGGGCCCGTCTTCCCAAGCTTCTTCAGCGTGGCTGCGAGGATCTTGGGGACCGCGCCCACAGGCGTGACACAACCACCGCATCCCGTGCCTACCTTGCAGGCCTTCTTGAGTAGCGGGATCGTTGTGGCCTCCTTATCGATGATGGCCTTCGCGACGTCGGCCTTGGACAGCCCAATGCACGTGCAGACCAAGTCGTCGTCGGCTAGGCCGGTGCCATCGCCGCCGTCCGCAGGCGCAGCGCCGCCATCCCCCGGAGGCGGCCTCTGGTAGGTGAGGCTCTCGGGATCGAGATCGCCCAGGTCGTCCTTTTTGCTCAGCTGCAGCAGCTTGGTGTAATCCTTGGCGTCGCCGACCAAGAGACCTCCCACGAGCTTGGTGCCATCCGAGTTGAAACAAAGCTTCCTGTAAGAGCCCGTCAAGGGGTTGGAACACTCCAAAGAGATGACCTCGGGATCCTTGTCGTCGAACCAGCGCTTGAAGAAGAAGTCGTTGTGAGAACCAAAGGACGCTACGTCAACACCCAAGAGCTTGAGCTTCGTGCTAAGATCGCTGGAAGCGTACTCGGCTGATCCTGGACCATCCACTAGATTCTTCACCACTACCTCAGCCTGCTCGACACCAGGGGCCCAGAGACCGTAGCAGAAGTTGCCGTCGATCGAAGCGCATTCACCTATGGCGTAGATTGACGGGTCTGCGGTGCGAAGTCCACTGTCAACCTTGACACCGCCCCGGCCACCAAGCTCTAGGCCGCATCCTTTTGCCAACTCATCACGGGGGCGGATGCCGCAAGAGACCACCACAATATCGACGTCCAGGACGATCCGCCACCGTGCCCCCTGGCACCTTGAGGCGTGGTAGAATGCCAAGTGCTGTCTGGTATGGCTTCTGTGATCTTCCAAATGGCCCCCCACCGCTCTACCAGCGGACACGCACATGCACCGCCCCCCCCCCCCGTCGTCGTCGTCGTCGTCGTCGTCGTCGTCGTCGTCGTCGTCGTCGTCGTCGTCGTCGTCGTCGTCGTCGTCGTCGTCGTCGTCGTCGTCGTCGTCGTCGTCGTCGTCGTCGTCGTCGTCGTCGTCACGTGCGCCCCGCCGCTGGAACAGCCATTCCCGAGGCTCCCTGGATTCCCCGACGCCTCTCTGGCGCTCTCCATGGCGTCCACGATACTCAAGATGGCTTCCAAGACGGACCTGGCAGGCCACCAAGGCCGCCGAGATGGCCCAAGATGCTTCCATGACAGCCAAGATGACCCCAAGACGGCTCAAGATGGCCTCAATAAGGTCCAAGAGGCCGTCAAGACGGCCCAAGAGAGTTCCAAGAGAACCTCCACCAAGGCCCGCTGAGGCTAAAATCATTGATCGCCTTTGGTTCTTGAAAGTTGTTTGCATTCTCGTCTTTTCGGGCCTCCGTCGGCTCAAGACGGCCCAAGTGGTCTCCAAGATGGGCACACGACGACCCAAGAGGGCCTCACGATAGCCTAAAAGGCCTCCAAGACGGCCTCAAGACGGCCCAAGAGGGTACCCGGACGGCTCAGGACGGACCCAAGCGGGCCTCAAGCTGGCCCAAGAGGGCCTCCAGAGGGACTCAGGACGGCCTAAGAGCATCGCTGGACGGCCCAAGACTGCCTCACGACGGCTCCAAGAGATCCCCAAGACGGCCGTCCTCTGAACAACCGCTTGGCAGAAGCTGATCGGCCTGCTCCAGACGCTGCAGATGCATGGTGTCTGATTTCAGAGCTTTAGCCTTTTAGTCTGCCTCATCTCTGAGAGTGAATCTCTGATGGAGGCAAACAATCGCGGGGCGATCCACGCGGAGATGACGGCTTTGTTCCTCCTCCTCCACCTCATCATCACTAATGTCCTCGTCCTCGTCCTCGTCCTGGTCATCCTCCTCCTCCTCCTCCTCCTCCGCATCCTCCCCCTCATCATCCTCATCAGCATCATTATCGTCGTCATGATCATCAGCGCCATCATCATCAGCAGCAGCAGAAGCAGCATCAGCATCAGCATCAGCACCAGCATCATCATAGTCGTCATCATCATCGTCGTCGTCGTCCTCGTCCTCGTAATCATCGTCGTCATGATCTTCTCTTCGTCCACCTCAATCATCCTCATCCTCCTCCTCCCCTCATCCTCATCCTCTGATGGCCATCACCACCATCGTCATCATCATCGATTCGAACAGCTGCCATCAAAAATTCTGAGCTGGCACGGTGGCAGGTCTGGCCGCAGACAGCTTAAGCTGCCGCCCGTGGTCTTGCCACAGGGGCGCCTGGCGTGCTAAACTTCTGAGGGCTTGGTTTTGGTTCCTTTCAAAAAGAACTCCCACTGGGGGTTCGGTCCGCTGCGCCCGCCACCCGGAATGCTTGCCCAGATGTGGTTGCAAGGATTTTGTCCGCTCCCGATGGCTCCAAGATGGCCTCCAAGACGGCCAAGATGGCCTCCAAGTCCCACCAGCCCTCTGGGCGCAGGTGGTCTAGAGCGTTTCCTTTTCCAACCTCCTTCCTTTCCCTGCTCGGGAGGTTTACCTCCCCCCCTCCTGCGTCTGGACGGGCTCCCCCGCGAGGTGTCAGAGGGCCCTTTTTGGCTCAAGATGGATCCAAGAGGGCCTCAGAGAGCCCAAGATGGCCTCCAAGATGGCCCAACATACCTCAAGATGGCTCAAGATAGCCTCCGACACGCATCCAAGAGGCTCCAAGACGGCTCCAAGACAGTTCCAAGTGCCGTCCGAGCCCTCCAAGGACCCCCCCAAGAAGCCAAAATGGCTCCAATGCCAATACCTAGGGGAAACAAATGTTATTTGCCTTCTCGCCTTTTCGCTTCCGATGGGCTCTTGAGGCGTCAAGATAGCCCCAAGATGGCCCAAGAGAGCCCCAAGAGACGCCCAAGAGGGCCCCAAGAGGGCCCCAAGAGCGCCCAAGAGCGGCCCAAGAGGGGACCAAGACGCCCTGTTTGGGCTTCCGAGGGGGGGGGGGGGGAGGGCGACTTAAGAGCCCCCCCCTCTTTTTTGAACAATGGGGGCGAGATGACCCCAAGAGGCCTCCCAGATCCCCCAACAAAGCCCCAAGAGGCCCCCAAGATGCCCCAAAAGAGCCCCAAGAGTGCCCCAACAAGGCCCTGAGAGGACCCCAAGACAGCCCCAATATGGCGCCAAGACGGCATTACGAGTCTTCGAAGAGCCCCTCACCACCACATATCCCAACGCCCAACTTGTCTTTCTCCTTATCATCGTCCGCTCCTTCCTCCCCCTCTTCTTGCCTCTTCCCTCCTCCTCCTCCTCCTCCTCCTCCTCCTCCTCCTCGTCCCGCATTCCTGCTCCTTCTCCTCCTCTTCCCCCTCCTCCTTCTCCTGTGTTCCTCCTCCTCCTCCTCATCTTCTTCCTGTTACCCCCAAGATGGCCCCAGCAGCACCACCACCACCAGCAGGATCACCACAAGCAGCAGCACCAGCAACAGCACTACCACCACCGCCACCAGCAGCAGCACCAGCACCAGCACCAGTAGCCGCACGCGAGTTTAATATACAAAGCAGTGCGAAGGGTAAAGCCAACGATGTCCATCGGCATGCTACTCTAATCTGCGCCAGAGACGTTTACCACAGGGAACACCACGGCGTGTCTTGCACTGCTTTCCATCTTAAACTTCAGTGCGGGGGTCAATTGAGACGGGCCACACCGACACGGGCCAGGGCAGATCAGATTAACACATTCAGTGTTGTTGCCCGCGCTGTTTCACTATGTGCGTCTCTTCATCCCTTCTCCTGTCAGCCCTCCTGGGCATTGTTCCTGGATGGGCTGGTGGGGATACGCGGAGCGTCCAGAATTCGCCCAGGGTGGTCCAAGATGGCCTCCAAGACGGCCCAAGAGGGTCCAATATGTGTCCAAGTCCGCCCAAGAAGCCTCCAAGACGGCCCAAGAGGCCCCCAAGAGGCCTCCAAGACGGCTCAAGAGGCCTCCAAGAGGTCCTCCATAGGGCCCGAAGAGACCAAAATCATTAACGCCCCATTTGCTTTTGCAGGATTTTGGCATTTGCTTCTTTTCGGCCTTCCGACGCCCAAGACGGCCCAAGAGGCCTCCAAGATCGCCCCAATGTGGCTCCAAAGGCCTCCAAGATGACCCCCTGACGGCCCAAGAAGCCTCCAAGACGGCTCCAAGAGGGCCCCAAGACGGCCCAAGAGGCCTCCAAGACTCCCAAGATGGACTCCAAGACGGCCCTGAAGCGCCCCAAGAGGGCCCAAAGTCGGTTCAGAGAGGCATCCAAGACTGCTTCCGACGGCGTCAGACGGGCCAGGAACGCCCTAAGACGGCCAGAGAGGCCCCCAAGAAGCCCCAAAAGGCCCCCAAGAGGCCGAAGGAGGCTCCCAAGAGGCCTCCAAAAGGCTCTGAGGAAGCTTTCAGGATGCCCCAAGGGTGGCCCAAGAAGGTCCCAAGAGACATTTTTCTTCTACTCCGCCTCTTGCTCCGCCTGCTCCTCCTCGTCCTCCTACCTCTCCTGAGCCTCCCTCTCATCCTCCCCCAAGTGTTCCCCGAAGAGCTTCCAGAACTGCTGGGAGAATACGTAGTCCGACAGCTTGGCCAGGCTAGAGCCCAACGATTGGCCACAGAGGCGCTTCCCAAAAAGGCAGGGGGCGGAGGTGATTCGCCGTAGGCGTCTTCGATAGGCTCCTCCGTGCCATTTTCGATGATCTTGATCCCGACCACCTTTCCCGCAGAAAGAACCACCTCCAGAATCTTGACCCCGATGTGCACCTGGATATCCAAGGCCTCGATCTTCTTTGCGAGAACAGTGCCTGCGGTCTTATTCAGCTGGGTCGGCATCAAGAACGGCGCCATCTCCAAGACGTGGCTCTCCATCTTCAGGTCGTACACGGCCTTCGCGGCCTCGAGCCCAAGCAAGCCACCACCGATCACTGCTGCCTTCCTCGCACCACCCTTCGACGCAGCGATAAGTCCATCCAAGTCCTCGATCGTGCGGTACACGAAAACGCCGTCAGGACGCGAAGCAGGATCGTCCGGCCAATGCGGGTTCTTCTTCTCCGGGATCACCATCCCTGGAGTCGGTGGCACAAAGCAATAGCTGCCAGTAGCGAACACCAGAAGGTCGTAACCCACAGACATGGAACTGCCAGAGGGATCCGTGTATGACACCGACTTGCCCTCTCGGTCCACCGCGACTGCACGGCCATAAATGAGCTTCACGCCGGTCTCCTGGAGGGAGGCTTCAGTGCAGTAAGACAATTTCATCTGGTCGTGCTTGTCTCCGTCGCGGTCCGCGAAGTACTGCGTCAGCATCACGCGGTTGTAGGCCGGGCGCGGCTCCTCGCACAGCACGGAGATCTCCCAGCCGTCGTCGCGCTCCCCCAGCTTCTCGATGAAGGAATGCCCGATGGGCCCATGGCCAACCACCAAGACGCGCTTGCCACCCTCCCCTGCCGGACCGACCGCAAGCTGACCGTCGGCACTAGTTGGCACCACCTCCTGCTTTGGCTTCTTCGGTGCTGGCGGTGGCGGTGGCGGGGCCTCATCTTTAATCTTGTTGGCAGTGACGGCTAGCTTGAAGTCCACTGCCGGGACCACATACTCGGAATCCTTCTTGCTCAGCTGCAAGAGCTTCGTGTAGTCCTTCGTATCCCCCACAAGCAACCCACCAAGCAACGTCTTTCCATCTGGGCTGAAGCATAGCTTCTTGTAGGTTCCTTCGAAAGGATTCGAATTCTCGAGGCTCACGACCTTCTTGTCATCTGCCTCGTCGTACTGCCGCTTGAACCAGAAGTCCGACGTGCGGCCAAAGGAGGCCACGTCAACGCCCATGAGCTTGAGCTTCGTGCTGAGATCGCTGTGGGAGTAATGAGCGGCACCGGGGCCATCCACGAAACGCTTCACGACCACTTCGGCCTGCTCGACTCCAGGGGCCCAGAGACCATAGCAGAAGTTGCCATCGATCGATGCACATTCACCTATGGCGTAGATGGACGGGTCTGCTGTGCAGAGCCCACTATCAACCTTGATACCACCCCGGCCACCAAGTTCAAGGCCGCAGCCCTTTGCGAGCTCATCACGGGGGCGGATGCCGCACGAGACCACCACCACATCGACCTCGAGGATGATGGGCTCCTCCGTGCCATGCTCGATGATTTTGATCCCGACCACTCTTCCTTCGGAAAGAACCACCTCCAGGATCCTGACCCCGGTGTGCACCCGGATGTCCAAGGCCTCAATCTTCTTTGCGAGCAAGGTGCCAGCAGCTTTGTTCAGCTGGGCCGGCATCAAGAAGGGCGCCATCTCTAAGACGTGGCTTTCCATCTTCAATTCGTACACGGCCTTCGCGGCTTCCAGTCCAAGCAAGCCACCACCGATCACTGCTGCCTTCCTCGCACCACCCTTCGACGCAGCGATAAGTCCGTCCAAGTCCTCGATCGTGCGGTACACGAAAACGCCGTCAGGACGCGAAGCAGGATCGTCCGGCCAATGCGGGTTCTTCTTCTATGGGATCACCATCCCTGGAGTCGGTGGCACAAAGCAATAGCTGCCAGTAGCGAACACCAGAAGGTCGTAACCCACAGACATGGAACTGCCAGAGGGATCCGTGTATGACACCGACTTGCCCTCTCGGTCCACCGCGACTGCACGGCCATAAATGAGCTTCACGCCGGTCTCCTGGAGGGAGGCTTCAGTGCAGTAAGACAGTTTCATCTGGTCGTGCTTGTCTCCGTCGCGGTCCGCGAAGTACTGCGTCAGCATCACGCGGTTGTAGGCTGGGCGCGGCTCCTCGCACAGCACGGAGATGTCGAAGCCAGCATTGCGCTCCCCCAACTTCTCGATGAAGGAATGCCCGATGGGCCCATGGCCAACTACCAAGACGCGCCTTCCACTCTCTCCCATTGCGCGCCGCAGCAGCGACGACGGGAGCCCGTAACTCCCAGTCAATGGATCAACCACACGGACCCTAAACCTAAGCTTGGGCCAAAAAACGAGCAGAGACGCCGTGGAGCATATGTGAGGCCAGATTCACGCTTCCGTAGCCCAACTGCTCAAGACAGCCTCAAAACTCGTCGTGGCCATCGAGTATGAAGTCAGGCTGGCGTGTTTGACCACAGTCGGTGCCGCTTGAACGGTACCCAAAGAAGCCCTGCGAGTCCTCCCAGCCATTGGGCCTGGATTCACCGGACTCCACAAGTCCTGCGGCCCGTACAGCGCCGTCTCATACCCGTAATGAGGAGGTCGGGGGGTCACGGGTGCAACCCTCGGTTTGCGATTGGGCGTCGGGTCCTTTTCGTGACTTGCTTATCTGTCCATATGTCCATGTCGCTAGCCATATGTTAGTACGTCCATATGTATATATTTCAATCCATCTCGCGATCTGTGGACCTACCGAGCTCTCCTGCGATGCCTGAGTAGCTATCGACATCCCTATCTGTGTATTAATCGATCGCCTTCGCTACTATATAAATGTATATGTAAATATAACGATGAGTAAAAATGTCGATATAAGAGCCGATCTACCACTCGGTCTACCTTTGTATCGGTTTACCTGCCCACCAGCATATCGGTATATTAATCTAGCGGTATTTGATAATACATATATGTGTGTGTCTCTAACTGTCAATATAATGATACTTTTATACATATGTACATGTAGATTATCATACGCACCTCCGCGAGGGAGTAGAGCTCAGAGGCGATTAATTGAACGCGCCGCGCCGAGTTCGCGATTTTTCCGGCCGTCTCGCTAGGGACATCCTCGAAATTCTGAAAATCGGTGACACCCCTCACACAGATCGTGACGTCAGGGTCCAAAAACACATGGGTATTTCAACATTATAACATAAAACCTTCAAAAACATATTCTACTTTCGATGATTTTGAATGCGATTCTCAGAGAGTGGCAGTTTCGCCTGAGACCTCATCGCAAAATCGAACCCCGACGTACCCTCTGATGCCTCCTGGACCTTCCTGGGGCCTCCTTTTGTCAAAATTTTCACACAAAAAAACAAAAACACATTGTAATTCAAATGATGTTGAAACCGATTCTGACAGAATGGCCGTCCCGCCTGAGACATCCTCGCAAAATCGGGCCCCGACGTACCCTCTGGATGCCTCCTGGACCTTCCTGGGGCCTCCTGGAGCCTCTTGCGGCCTCCTGGTGGGGCCTCCGGAGGCCTCCTGCGGCCTCCTGGGGCCCCCTGGGGCCTCATAACACACACACACACACACACACGCACACGCACACAAACACAGAGACACATACATCACACACACACATCACATCACAGAGACACACATCAGACACATATACACACATCATACACAACACATACAGAACACACACACACAAAACCTACAACACACTGAAAACACGCACGACACACAGACACACACACACACACCACACACACCACACACACAATACACCCAACACGCGTAACACACAACGCACACACAACAAACTTAACACACAGTACACGCACCAAACACACAGCAAACACATAGCATGTACACATAACGCACAGTACACACATAACCCACAGAACACACGCACAAGCACACACACACACGCACAACACACAATGCACACAACACACACACGCACAACTCACATAACACTTGCACAACACACACTTTTCTCAGGGAGCGCGTCGTCGCAAACGCGAAGTCCGGTTCGCAAGGCAAGCAGGGCTCGCCTCTCGTCGGGAGGCTGACCCAATCGACTGTAGTGCAGTGACGGTGAAACCGTGATTCGACATCCTGTGTGATGCAAGACTAAATAGTAATTCGACCGAGCATTGCACTCGCGCAAAAGAAAACAAACTGTGCGGCAGGCCAAGTGTGCCAAGCTAGGTAGCCACAGACTCAGAATGCCCCGAGAGGCCGTAGGAGAAGCTGATCACCAAACAATAGGGAGGTGAACATGCGAAGATGCTGTCGGTAGCACGCCGCAAACCCTGAGGCTACATCCACCCAAGTAAACTGTGCCATTGCCGGGACCGCGTAGGACATGGCTGCACAACTCAACCGTGTAAGACGACATGGCAACACACCAAGATCCCGAAGGCACACGTCCCCACCAATCGAGTGGACCACCATTGGCAAGTACCACGCTGCAAGAAATCTCCGTTCGAGCAAGGATAAGTACTGGACGCAAGCCTGAGAGGACCTGCCCGAGAGAAGTGTTGCCCAACCACCTCACTCGCCCACGCACAGACGAAGTCGGCGGACCTGGACTCCGTCTTCCACACTTTGGTGCCATTAAATCCGTCGGTGTAGCCCCCGACAGCCGTGACAAGGTAACGCGGTATGGACTGCCATTGATAACAAATTGCCCGCGTGGGCACGCAGGGAGCCCACAGAGAACGCAGCCGGCGTGCGAGAGCGTGCAATGGCAGAGCCACGGAAGAAACTGGTGCCTTCGCACCAGCGGTGAAAACGAGAGCGGCAAGCAGCGCGCGCGCGGGCGGCCCTCCCCAGGCCCGAGGCGAAGGGGGAAGGCCAGCACGCTCAGGAGACTCGCCCGCAGAGTGTCCGAGGCATATCTCTGACACCATTCCTGGCAGCCCATGCCGGCGATCGTATATACACAATCCGCACCAGTTGACAGCGTCCAGCTCCGTCGCCGACCTGCCCCCCAGGCCCCGGGCGAAGGAGGAGCAGGCAAGCAGCAACCATACGCAGTCGGAGAGCCCACGAAAGTAGCAGCGTTCCACAAGTGGTTGTTCTTCTCATCGTACGGCTGTGCGTAAGTGAGAGCGCCGCCGTACCTTGTGGGCAGCCCCCCCCCCACGGGGCCGCATGTAGGGCATCGAGTCCCTATGCCCAGCGCATGCGCTGGCCCGTGTCGGTTCGCCGAATAGTTCTGCAGGTCATATGCCAACCATGTTCCCAGCAGCGGTGCGCAGTCCACTCGACCGAGCAACTCCCCAGGCCCAGGGCGAAGGGGGGGCCGCAAGGTGTCGCAGTGCAAACCCCACATGTACGGCACGGCCCCAAACAAGTGTCGGCAAGTTCTCTCCCCGAATTCATCCATCGGGTCTGGGCCCAGCAGGCCCTCGGCAAGGGTAAGAGCGATCAAGGAAACGTGGCAATGTTCGAGCTTGTGCGTGCCGGAGTGCCACATCTTCATGCCGTACGAAAGGGTAGTGGAAATCATCATGGCATGGTAGGCGTCCCTGCACGTCCGCGACCGCTGCATCCATGGCGAAAGGAGACAAGCAGAAAACGAGCACCCACTGGTTGAGGGCCCATAACAGTGAAAGCGTGCCCCATGTGGTAGCCCTTCACACCGCACCGCCGTGTCGCATGGCCCAAGCCAGCGCGAACGCGTACCACAGACATGCGTCCACCGTGCTGCCCAGTAGCAGTGCGCAGTCCACTTGACCAAGCGACTCCCCAGGCCCGAGGCGAAGAGGAGCCGCAAGGTGTCCGTGGAGCGCGCCCCACACGTGCCTAGGCCCCACAGCAGCTGGCAGGTAGCCCTGTCCCCGACATACCTGTGTCCTCGGCACTGTGAACCCCTCAGTAAGGGGAAGAACGACCACGGAAAGTTCGGCCGTGTGCAAGCCGTGTGCGTGTCGGGGTACCACACCTTCATGGCGTAGGGAGAGGGGCGGCGAAGCTCCTCATGGCATTCGCAGGCATCCATGTACGCCCACGACCACTGGATGTCCCAGCCCGGGCCAATATATGAAGTAGTAACCTCTTCCAACGTCCATAAGACCCCCTTCCAGCGGTTGAGTTTATCACACCACCACCAACTGCGTTCGTCTGCTGGAAATGTATTGACATATATGCCTCCTCCTACTGAGTCCTTAGAGTGAGGGTTAGTCTCGTACCAGGTGTAGTGCGCGCCATTGTCTCGAATGGAGATTGCCTGCTGCCGGCACGGGAGAGCGAGCAAAACCATGGCTTCTTGAGCCTAAGTGCGACTGGGGAGGGAGGGAGCCCATTCTGCAACCACCTCTTGATGTCTCTCCTTCGCTTGGTGTTGGATCTCCTCCCGCAAGTTCCTACCTTCTGAATGAGGGGCAGGGAGAGGAGACCAGCTTCCGCGAGCTGTCAAGTCCTGATCATGCATCATGAGCGCCTCCCTGCATTTGTTCCCCAATTCTTCCAGTACCAGCAGGAAGAACATGTTCCACTCCGTAGACGTATGCTTGTCCACGTAAACTTCGGGGGCTGCGTAGTACCTTTGCTTCTCGCCTTTCTGCAGAGATGGCTTGGGCGTATTCATCGACTTGGAGGCCACGTATCTCCAAAGGCTTGCGAATCCCTTGCGGCGGACCAGGACGTTGGCAAACCATGGAGCTCGCCCAGGATCTTCCCATTGAAGTGCTGCCACCCAGTTGTCCTTCGCAATTATGTCTGGACTTGGTGCTGTCGCCAGCCCATTCTCCGACGCCCACTGCGCCGATTCCCAATCCATCCACCCCGTGACAGGTCGCGCAGATCGCGTCATGCACAGTGCGCATGACCATCGCGTTCCTGGCACCACACTTCCAACAATAGAGCCAGGCGTCCAGACTGGAGAACCCAAGGAGCACAGGCCTGTGTCGATCATCTTCATAGCAGATGGGGCCGCCAAGGTCCTCCCCCACCAGCCTACGAATGAGCGATTCTGCCCTGTAGGCAATGTAGTCACGTAACCAAGAGTCTCGTCTCAGCAGTTGCTCCCGTCTCTGGTCGCCCTCCCGCACCTTCATGACCCTTGGGAAGATGTCATGCACAGCGCCGCCCCTCGGGGCCACTGCAGCCCAAATGTGGCGAACCCTGGCGCGCGCGTCTCTTTCAGATCCTATCGCGTATTGAGGCAGAGGATGACCTTCCCAGTCGCGTGAGCCGTCGATGAGTTGATCCCCCCACATCCATGCCGAGCCCGATGCACTGTTGTG